CCACGCCTGAAATCTCGATTATCACTTTATCATGCGAGAGTATAAAATGTTCGGTGACACCCGAACTTAGCCCTTCCTTACTTGTTCTATTTCAGAGAAATGGAATTGTTATTCACAAAGTGATAATAGCGGTATATCGTTTAAAATTACATTACCAACGCAGGTGATTTTTTTTAATTAAGATATTTTATGTAAGGCTTTTCTTAAATTTTTATTGAATGTTACTAACTTTATTGAAACAATAGTGAGGGTAAAAAGAAACCTTATACTGAGGATACTAGGCTGTAACTGTAACTGTCAAAAGAAATGAAAGCATCGATTTTTGGGCAAACTGAGAACGAACTAGCCGTAGGTAGATACCATTAAAGTTGATTTCGAGAAGCATTTCCATTGCTGTCTAATCATAATGGATGAGAATAGTTATTGGGGGCGTTAAAAACGCTGGATTATATTTAAACTACTCCAACACTGTAAACAATGGTTTCATGACAATTTACAAACTGCTTTAGATTGTCTCTGTTGCAGTCGAGATACATATCAAGAAATTGATTTTCTTACCTGAAAAAGGTACGACTTTACAAAGTAACAAACTAAGTTCGTGTGCAGCCGAATAAACCGAAATAAACCCTTGGTTTCATTAAGGAACCTCACATACAATCACCAATCATATGGAACAAAGTCAGCCTGATGTTCGAAAAACCTGGTAATAGTTATACGGAGAGTAAGTCAAGTTTCCATCCAATTGTATCTATTTTTTTTTGTCACAAACATATACTGTTATGAGTAAAACAGGTTCTGTAATTTTTATTGTGCCGGTATATGCAATATAAAGTCACCTGGAAGTTCTAAAATCTTTATATTAGGTATATGGGGGCTCATAGAAGTATTGACCGGATTCAAACCCTTTTTAATACACAGAAATACTTTTGTCAAGAAAGATTGCTGTCTGAATTTCAATTGCGTATCTCACACATTGAACGATATTTTGATCATAAGTCAACTGTAGATACTCGGGCGCATATATTCGGTACCTAGGGCTTGAACAGTTTTGTTTGGATTTTGACAATTTTTGGTCATAAGATTTGTACACTGGAGGGGAAAGAGTCAAATAGAATTTAAAATTGAGTTATATGAGAAGGAGGGGTGGTTGTGGTTAGGCTTCGTCCATTTTCGCTCTGTAACATAGGAATATGAAAGATGTGTCACGTACTGAGTTTAGTCGAATTCGGCCGGTTGAATCCCGAGATATGTGATTTCACCAAAAAGTGAGCGATTCCACGCCCATTGTCTAATTTTCACACCGGCTCCTATAAAACCTTTTCAAACCATCTCGGAGGTCAAATTTAATGTCTCTAGCGTAATTAGTTTTTGATTTATTGGGCTTTTAGTAGTTTTGAACAATTCCGTTAAATGGGGAGTGAGCGAGGTTATCCGATTTCATTTAAATTTTCACACTGTAGGAGTTCTGATAATATTTTTCTTCAGCAAACTTAATTGTTGTAGCTTTAGTAGTTTAGGAGATATGTACACCAAACTTATTATAGGCCGGGCCACACCCACTTTTCAAGGTTTTTTCCCACAGGTGTCCCTTGCTACTGGGATTCCCTGTACCAAATTACAGCTTTATATCTTAATTTAGTGCTTAGTTATAGTACTTTTCCGTTATGACAGGCATTGGCCCAACTACGTCCATATACGAACTCATAATTGTACTAAGAAGCCCACATACAAAGTTTCATCAAGATTTCTCAATTTTTACTCAGGATACAGCTTGCAACAAAAATTAGTGGATCAGGAGCGGATCCACGGTCCACGGTCCACGATCCAAAAGTTAAAAGTTATACATTATTTCCAGTGGGCCACAAAAATCAATAATTAAACATTTGATAATAATATTACCGAAAATATATAATGTATTACATAAGTTTTTCCTTTTTCCAGTGCATTATGTGTATTGCATACAATAAATGCCTATTCAATATAGCCGAAATTAGCAATAAATTCAAATTATATACATATATAAATACATATATATATAATATGCATGTACATTAGGCTGTTTTTTTTTTTTTTTTTTTTTTTTTTTTTTTTTTTTTTTTTTTTTTTTTTTTTTTTTTTTGTTGTGAACTATTCATCTTTGTCATTCCCTTCACGAAATTTCCTTGGAAATACCCTAAAAATATTCCTTGAAAATTTAGCCCTTAATATCAACATCAAGGACTGGATCAAGCCATGTAAAAATTTTCCATAGAAAATACAGGGCAATCGTGATTTTATATCTTTAAATTTCTACAGCTGAGATATGTACATTTTATGGCATCGTTTTGACTTTAGACACATATTCATCAGTCGAAACTCACACCGGCGAGGTAGTACGGGCGCTAAACCTGACATTTCCACAAAAATCGCATTTTTCATATATGTATATCTCGTAAATGACAAGAGCTATAAAAACATATACATGACAAACTTGTAGGAAATTTTATTTGCTACAAAAAAGGTTCGAGGTCAAAATCACTATCATTAATACTTCTCGAGATTTTCTTTTTAGGTAAGGCTGTATGGAATTTTCATAGATTTTTTATTACATATCATCTATGAAAATTCTAATAAAGCATTGAACCTCGGACCTTTTTTGGAGTAAATAAAATTTCCTACAAGTTTGTCATGTAGATTTTCAGTCCAGAGCATTGAATTATAGCTCGATTTCATTTGTAGATACACGGTGTCACACTTTGAACCTCTTGCAAAGTTTGATTACGTTATCTTTTTTGGAAATTGAGTTATATATACTATATGTATGTATATATGTACATACATGCATAAATACAAACATATGAGTTTGTATAGTTTTAATTGAAACAATGTGATAAGATCCAAAATTTTATTATAAGGGAACGATTAAATTTATTTTTAATAAAAAATAAAACATGCTTTTTAAAATAGTAGAAGACGAAATATGCAAACGGAAAAAATGTTAATTTTTTTATTTTTTAATCCGGATTTTTCATGTCTTGCTTTCAGTGCTTCCCTCTAATAAGTGGCGGCTCTTGACAGGTAAAGCGTAAAACGATGAGAGTTGCCCAACACTTTAAAAACATTAACGAATTTCATAAGATTGTGATATGAAAGGGAATGCAGGAAATAGTCCGACTTGAGTTGCCTTTAATGAATGACAAAATAGTTCGTATGTAAACCCAATCTTACAAAGCCAAACAGACGGATGAAGATGTAAAAGTTATCTAAAGGTATGTACATATGTACACACACATTAATATTTATTAATTTATAATATGTAAGAACACCTAAGGAATAAACAATGAGCAACACTACTTCGGTTCTCTTTCACTTTTGTCACCAATCTAATATATCATATAGAGAAAAAGTTATTAATAACATTTTAACAAATTGTGATTAGGCAGCAAACGCACTGAAAACGAATCTTTTTGATTTACACTATAGTTACCTTCATCATAATGTACATATGTATGTGAACGTACTTTCCACAACACGAAGCTATCAGCAGGCAGGGCGTTCTTCTATTAAAAAGCTAAAACCAATAAGTAACTATTTCACTTTCATCCTTTCTTCAGTTGGGGCTAGATTTACACAAACACGAGTACGTTATACATGCGTCTGCATTGGTATTCGGTGGCGCCCAAAAGCGTATCAATAAGCAAACTACTGAACCGCCACTGTCTGTTGTTTGTACATTTTTGCTATTTCCTTTCACATTCTATTTGTTTGTTTGGCTGACGATGCAAATGCATTTGTGTTCGTGAGTCGTTAAAATACGTGCAACTGCGGCGAAGTGGTGAGGTGACTCAGGCAAAGCCAGTGTACGCGTAGTCAAAACAAAAAGTAGCAATCACCTACTTACTTACATATGTACAACATTATATATGTATATGTATATGTATATGGGGATATGTGCAGATTCACACACATACATATGTTCATGAACGCACATATCTACATTCAGCAACATGTATAAATGTACACTTATTTTTGTGAAAACAACCGCAAACGAACGGCAGCGTACGTCGGTGACGAAAGCAATGGAAGCGCATTTTTTGCGTTAATGCTGACGTCCAATACGACTTCGGTGTCAGCGCCAGCGTTTGTTTATACAATATTGAGCGACTCTTGGTTGGTGTCGTTGGGTTTATTGTTATTGTTCCTGAGTAAACAACATGCAACAATAACAATTTCACAATACTAGCTCATTACTAGGTACGAAATGCATAGCAATATATTCATAGATACTATAATACATGAATACATACCTGCAGAATGTACGTACGTCTTTGTACATTATATTGACGTGGTTTTATTTGTTTTTATATATGTATGTAAATATAAGAATGGCTCTGGTAAAGATTTCATCTTACAACACTCATCGTTCTCCCAACATAATTCATATGCTACGTTATTGTTATTGATGGTTTATTATTGTTTTTTAAATTTTTTTAATTATTACAGCGGAACCAAAACATCCACATCTACTCATCCGTATTCGCCCTATGCTCTTCGCTCTTGTTTTTCAAAGTAATCAGTCAACGGCCACCGCGTTCGTTAGTTCGCTTCGCAGTTGCTCGCGTCGGTCGCTGCTCTCTCAAACAAATAAAATATTCTTACGGTGTTGTTTTGTTATCTTTATGTTTTATTGTTGCTTCTTTTAACATTCCCCAACACACATAGACATGCATTCAACAAACATACGTTTATTTTCATTCATTTGCTGTAAACAACACTTCGTCATCCCTTGGTCTCACTCGGTCTTCATCGAAACAATACTCTGCTCTGATAAACAGCGACGTCAGCAGTTAACTCCAGATACAAAATCATTCTACGGCATGCATACTGCCTCTGCCACTTTGCGGCTTCGTTGTTGTTTACTCACTATATATAAGTATGTAAGTACATTAAATTGCTCCGCGCGCTTTGCACAGCGCAGCGCTGCGTCAAAGTCAAACGAACTGAACGCAGAACAACTCAGTAGTTGAGAAATTTCATTTCATTGCGGAGCATTTTAGTCGTTTATCGATTTCGCAAGGTTTAGAAGTGTTTTACGACAGTATTTGTTGCAAAACAGAAGGAAAAAACATTTCGAAAAAATACCAAAAACAAAAGTGAAACAATAAGAAATTTATTGAGTTGGTTGCGTGGTAAAAGCTCAAATTGATCAGTGTACATGTGCGTAAAAACGTTGGTGTTGCCAGTTTTGGCTAGATTCAACACAAAGTGAGTTGCGGGTGTGCAAAACAACACAAAGTGAGTTGCGGGTGTGCAAAACAACTTATGAAATAATGAAAATGTGATGCGCGCGAAAGTGATAATACAATATTCTGCTACTTAATATTTCTTGTATTTAGATTTAACAAAGATCACAAATTTCAACCACATTCACGTGACATTAATAAACATTGTAAAAAATGCGACTGCCTGCAAATAACAGATTTTATAATTTATTTAAACAAGTTGAATTTTTTATTCATGATTTACTTTATGATCATGTATTTTATCCTAGTACACCTACTTTAACCTAGTAGCTGTGTAGGACAGGAAGAGGACTGTAGGCTATACCTAATTTAAATACAAAGAAAATTTTCAAAGGATAATACGATAGATAGTATATCTTGTAATAAACATATGAATACAGGAATAAACATAAACCTTGATTTAGTTTTATACAAGATTCTACATAACAAAATTGCAAATATATGAAAAATGATGGGATGCATTGAATGAGGCGATAGCTTATGGAAGGCTTAAAACGATCTTGTCTATCATGTGGTTATAGTGTTGACAGTTTGTCCGTGAACTATCTACTGTTTTAAACTTCATAGTAATGACCAATAATAAAATATTCATTGAAAATACACTATACACGAAGAAGACGCAACTTATTTAGAAAAAAAATTGTTTTGACTTATTACTTGGTTTAATGATCTAATTCGGGAATAGAAGTGTGTAATATAAGTATTTACTACTTTCATCCAAACATATACATATGTGCATATGTGTGTATATCAACAAATAACTGCATTTTGCTTTATTCATGTTCAAATGTATGTCAAAAGCATTTCCGGTATGAATTGGTTCATTCCATTCAAACACATCTCAACATTTTTTTAAGTGTACGCAGGTCATTTACGCGGAAAGCTGCCAAGACTGAACAACTAACGAAAACGTCAACATATATGCGCAGCTAACTAAAAACCTATCAAAACAACTGCAAACACAACAAAATTGCGAATATCATGCTTAGTTATACTAACAATGAACGAATGTGTGCGTATATTTAAATGTGTGAAAATGTATTTATGTGTACAAATACAATAAAGAAAAAGAAACAATATTTAATATGAATAAAATAACAAACCAAAGAAATATGTATTTGGAATGGAATGTTTATGTGGAAACAAAGAACTAAATTCAAACTTACAGATACAACTATCTGTTGTAAATTCTTACACACACATATGCACGTAAAAATTCGTATGTGTGGTTTTCGTAGAATGGCAAATGTGTCACCATTTTGACAAAGTTATTTTCCTCGGAAGTTTTACGGTTGTATAGCCTATTTGAGTAGACACAATTGTTCAGGTGGAAATGTTTTACTCTGCGCTTGTAGCAAGTAGTACACCTGTTCTACTTACTCCCCAGAAAATCTCCTAAGCTGTAAAACATCTTTCGTAAAAATAAAAGTCTTTAATATTTTATTAAACCCTTTCGAAAGTATATAATTTTGTATTCCTAAGCACATATTCATGCATATGTTATATATACTAAGTTATGGCATCCTGGGAAGACCAATACAGGTATTCATATATACATATATGTATGTATATAAGAATATTTTTCTCTATAGAGTACAATTTTCCCCAGCTGGTACATACATACATATGTGCATATGTACATATATTAAGTTTGCCACGATATTAGCAACATGGAAAAGAAAAAATAAGGTCACAGACCTTATAAAATATATATGGTATGTACATGATCATAATGACGAGGTTTGAAATTTGTATTGAGACAATGTTATCAATCTTTTTCCACTGCAACATCAAGTATCACGTATTTTCTCCCAAAACGATAGTGGCTGTTATGATAATGTCATCATCAGAATAGATATGACTGATCACTTAAACTTCTCACTTATTATGGAATTATCAGCAATAGCAAAGATTTTTAATTCAATCAGATGTTAAATGAAAGCAAGATTATATGTAGCAGCATAACTAAAAATGTAATGACGTAGATTGTGGAGTAATACAATTTCCATATTAAACCTTAGTGTATCTTATTTCCAAGAACTCCTTCTCTCTGTCCAGTAAACAATTCCTTCAAAAAATTCAATTAAACTACGAAACTCAAATTAGGTAGAGAGGATTAAAGTATAGAGATCTGATATGGTTTAAAATTTAATAGAAATTGGTCTTGTACGCGCTCCAAAATATGTACTGATTGATGTTTTCGTGTGCTTTGGATGGCTTCTATCGAGTAACAAAGAGGACTGTCTATTGGAATTAGAACTGTATGCAGATGTGTAGTCTTCCTTAAAAGGTTACATCATTTGTGCTGGTACATGTATGACAAAATTCAGCTAACCCGTACTTTACTGTTGCATATGCTTGAACACATTTGCCTTTTCTATTTTTACTAAATCATAAAACTAAATTTTTTAAGTCAACAAATATAACTGAAGTAACGTAAGTAATTTTAAAGATTAAGGTTAAAGACTCTATAGAGAAGGATAGGATAGGAAGCCCAAAAGAGGTCGGGCTATCCAATAGACATCCGATCTGCTAAGATCTTTACAACAATTAGCTGCACATTTTTGGAAAAACGTACATACATATGTATGTACAATGTTTCCTAATTATTAAATGGGTCATTTGTTAATATTTATTCTTCTCAATTAAAACCAATTTTGTACCATGAAACATTAAATGCTCAAGATGTCTTTAATAAGGTGTTTCTAATTTCGCAGGTTATTCTGGCAAAACAAAATGCTTCTCATCTCTCATTATCTGTTTATTTATCCTTTTACTTGGGTACTGAAGAGCAGTTAGCTGCAACAGATATCCTGGAATTAAACTGTTGTTTATTCTGCAATGTAAAAATTTGTACATATATGCATACGTTTTGCATTAATTTAACTAAATTAAATTAAAATTAAAGACCAATCTCAGATTCTAAATTTTAATCTAATAATAGAAATTGATTAATTTTATAATAGAAACGAATTACCATAAATCGCTTATGCAGCAACTGCAAACACCCATTTTATTAGCGCCAATCGATTTTAATCTCACAGCGCAACCGCACACGCTAATAAACCGAGGAATCATGGAATGGACCAACGATGAAGCTCTTGAACTAATAGAGCAATATCGCATCCACACAGAATTGTGGAATCGTGCTGATCCCAAGTACAAAGATAAATTATGTCGCTTTCGAGCGTGGTCAGAAATAGCGGAACGTTTTGGGTGCAGCAAAGCTGAAGTGGAACGGAAGATGAATGTGTTACTTACACAATATCGACGGGAGAAACACAAAATGCTTATTAAATTATACCAGGGGATTCAGCCGAATCCGTCAAAATGGTACGCGTTCAAAAGGTTCGATTTTATGGAGGCGGGTGGCGGTAGCAGTTCATCGAGCAGATCGGGCACAAATGGTCATACATCTACGTCGACGGCTGCAAGTTTAAATGGCCTTAACTCTTACGAAACCATAACAGCAGCGGCGCAGCAGACAACAAGTACAGCCGTCGCGGTGGCAGCGACGACTGCAAACGCCGCGCCGAGCACTTCACAACATCGGCGCATGAAGAAAGAGATGAAGTATTTTGGTGCGGTGAGTATCCTATCATCCAATGACACATCGCATTACATTCGAGAAAACATTGTATATACATATGTACATATGTATGTATGTCTTTGAAGGAAGTACTCTCATAGTTGTGAATTACCACAGTGTTGACATATCGGAAAAAACCTTTGCATTTAAACCCTTTGCAAAACCCACTATTTGTGATTTTCCGAATAAAGTAATAATACATTAATTAATTTAAAATTAGAACTACTTATACAAAATTTGTATCCTACATATTAATGCATATCGTAAGTATTGTATTTAATGCGAAGTATTGTTGGACGGCTAAGACAATGGTTGACGCAATTTCGTATTTTTAGCAAATCCAGTCGTAATAATTTCGAAATATTAAGCGCTGTGAACTCCACTTGAACATTCAAAATATATTCAAACGAACAATATTCATCCAAACAACGGAATGTAGCCAGAATAGTTGCTTGAATTTTATTTACTGAACTACATGGAAAAAAGTTTCGATGGCTCGAGTAATATGGGAAATTATTTGTGAAAACATCCATCACTTGTAAAAATCAACGTTCCATATCTATTCGTCAGTGGCAGTGATGAAATATGGGGATAAATACATTCGTACATACATATTTCAAAGGTTATTAGAAAAGCTGGAGTCCTTACCATCTCAAAGTAGTGAATGTCTGTGAAACATATTGAAAGTTGATAAGCTTTTAGTTAGCAAAATAAGTTTATGAATTTTAATGAACGAGTTTGAACAAATCACAATATGAAAAACATAATAAAAATTAATTCTCTAATACGATATATTAAGGTTAATACCTTAACCCGAGACCTTTAATTACTGAAAGAGGTGATGAAAAAAGTTAGTTCGATACCAGTTAACTGGTAACATTCCAAGTAGTTAGTTCATCAGTCATAACCTTGGCTAAACTATTTTGATCATCTCGCACAACTTACACTCAATTGAAGTTACATTATTCTGTTCAGCATATTTAAAAAAAATACCACTACTTTCGGTCGAAGTCACATCTGATCGTTGTTTACGTGGTATAGACATTAAAACCAATTTTTATGCACATAAATATATTTAACCGCAAACATTTTTGTTTTGCAAATTTATCCAAGTCCATGGTCTGAAAAACGAAGGGTGTATTTTTTTCTATTGCATTTACCGATATCCTAGCTCATATAAATAACAGAATTCAACACTGTGTAAAATATGCGAGGACTACTGTGTATATTTCGTACACATATGTATAGCCAGATATATGTATATACATATATACATAAGTATTTACTTATGCTTGTAGTATGTTCATGCGTGTTTGCGTTTTAACTCATTGTTTTTCTTCCACTTTTGTTATTACTTCTCAACAACGCGTTCATACAAAAAAAAAAACAAATTCTCTCTACATGCATATATGTATGTATATAGGTAAATACATAAGTCCACTTGCTGATTCACCACCCCTCATGAAAAAATATACAACAATACCAACTGAATAATATAATAATAATAATAGCAGAGGTAAATATCAGCTTTTACAAATTTATATTCGTATGTGCTATGCCGAACAAATTACGAATATTTTTATGTGAATACTCACATGCTAACGTTTGTTTATACCTAGAAGAAAAATTAACAAAGTAAATTTATCAAGTACATTGCGATATCCTGGAATGGCTACTTTTTTTTGGAATTAAAGTAACACCGGTTACCTATACGTCTTTTATGTATTTATTGTACATGCATATTTGGATTTTTGTATAATATACAGAATTTTGTTAGCTGAAAGCAATTTTGTAAAACAATATTTAGTAGGATTGAAATGTGTTGTGGCAACACTAATTGTTATGGCGAATGCAGTGGTCGAATGAGCGGCGTTGGCTTAGCACTCGCGTTGATGCGAGCACGATTCTGATTGTGTTATTTGTTCTTTGAATGGGATGATAATCAGTTTGTTTACATTTTAGTTGTGCCATGTGTGCATACTGCCGTCAAATTGTTTCTCTGGCTGCGCTTTGGTTCTGGAGATCACACGTTCCTAGTGCTCACTTTGCGCGCAAAACCGCTCCCTAACACAGCCACTTACCGCAAAATTCGCTATACATATTAAGTACAACGTAAAATCCCTTTACAAATGGTGAGTACTCCATGTATACTTTTAAAATAAACAGAGAGTATTCCTAAATTAACCACGCCCATTTCTATATCCTAGGGCATAACAAAAAACTTGAACTCTGCTTAACTTTTGAGTATTTCTTTAGCTACTCTCTAAATATTACTGCATGCAGTAATTTCGGAAAATAACTTTCGAAACAACTTTTTGTTGTTATTCGCAAGCTTAAATTTTGTAGAAACTCTTCATTTGTAGTCGTAAATGTTGTATAGCACATAATGTGACTTATGAAATAAACATAGAGTTTGCGACAACTCTGAAACGTTCCTTTTCTGGATCGAATTAGAAAATACATCTTCAACGAAACTATTTTTATAGATTTATTTTTTTATGTTACCTATTCTCAGTCTTGTCACTATCATTTGCGCACTCAGATGTAGTTAGTTAATTACTCAGGGTCGGTCGTGCATTCAAAAAGCAGTTTTTAAAGTACTTTAATCCAACATGACCAAACAAATTTAAAAGGATAAACCGGAAGAAAGTAAAGTCTACCACTTGACGCCATATCTCTATGCTTCACACAAGTGAAGCATTTATATCAACAACAAAAAAAGAAAATACTGAAAGCCAAATAAAACAAAACGAACGTAAATTGATAATTTTACACACTCCAAGCCAAGAGACAAATTTATTTAAATTTTTCAATTTTAAAGTAGGGGTACTACCACTACTTTGAAATAATCGAATTATTTCTTTGGAAACAATTTGCAACTACTTCAATATGACTACTTTATAATTTTGTATTTAGTGTTCAATGCAGACTCCAGGATGTCAATTAGCACTATCTAAGCCTTTACAATATTATGGCAAATTCGCCGGCTGGTTCCATGAAAAAAGCATGGACACAAGAAGAAAGTACCAAATAAAGCGTTAATTATAAATGTGTTATTAGAGGTAATGCATTAAAGTTAGCTGTCATAAATATATGTATGTATGTACACGAAACTAGCAGAAGTTGTGAAGATTTTGTCAAAAATACATTCTGTGCGTGCATCTTAAAGAACTTGACACAAAGATATTTACGGGACATACAATATCCAATTTAGAACCGTTTTCTCAATGTCTGGTTAGCAACCATCTGTCAGTTATGTACTGGTTAACTTAGCCTAGACTCCTACTTTCTGTTTACAATGAGTTATATAATTAAAATAAATACATTGTGCGTACATACAAATATCTTTGTGTTAGGATCAATCAGACTTGATAGTTGAAATAATATAGTTCCTGACGATAAGTATACCTTCGCATGTTTGTGATATCGTATAGATAACGTGAAACTTAAGTTGTGGAATGGAGATTATCATTCATTATTTATCATTTCAATTCTATACTAAATTAGTTTAAGTCGAATTTTCTATGGAACCATCAACCGTCCTCTGACACCAAATTAGTAATAACGGTAAAAAAATAGAAGCCATAACTTTGCTGGATGGCTTAACTTTTCATACCCAAGATTTATGAAAATATCTAAATTTTGACTCAAGTTAGCGCTTGCATGAACAGACAGGCAGGCAGTCACTCAGAATTCAACTCGTCACACCATCCTGATCATTTATAATTACATATGCAACCCTATATCTAAGTCGATTATATTTAGGTTTAGGATATATGTACAAACAACCATTAGATGAACAAAACTATTATACTCTGTAGAAACAAACTTTTCAATTGCCCACTCACTTCGAAGTGGAACCTGTTGACAAAAGTTATTCTGCATTGGATTTTGAGGGTAACATTGTTGTGGTGTTGATACTGGTGCCAAGATAGACAAAATTATCTACGACTTTAAAGTTATGATTGTCAAAAGTGCCGTGAGATATTTCGCCTTGCTCTCTTTCAATACCAGCCTATGGTACATATAATTATGATATTAACTCACCGAAGAGGCTAAATTTAATATTTATATTGGGTATATGAGAAATCATCCACCACGGGATCGGAAATCAGTATATTAGGCATATGTAGTTTAAACCAAGATTTAGACCGATTAAAAACACAGTATTTAATGAAAATGTTTCACATAAATAAGTTAAAATATTACATATTTTGATAAACTTAAACGCTTTAAAGTCATGGAAGCTCAAATAGAATAGAATCACTATATCACCGACTGCATTAACCTTTGGCATTACTAAAGTATACTCAAGAACATGTTTATATATAATTTTGTGAAAATAAGACCCACACAGAGTTTTCTAAAATAACGAAAATCATTATAGGTAGAATGGGAGCATTGTGTGGGAGGCCATTGTTAAATTTTCACTTAACTCTCCTAAGATGCCTTACATAATGACCATTCGACGTGGTATAGCGCCAACCGGAAGTTTAAAATTCTTATATTACTAAAGCTATGGGTAATATTGACACGATTTTATCCATTTTTGGTATTACGAAACATCATTGCTAGAAAAATTGCGCTCAGAGCGTATTCTCTGCGTGTTTCAATAATATATGTACATATTTCACAGATTTTGCGATATTATCCGCAAAAAATTAGCCATATGCACTAGAATCCACATATTTCATATTGGTCGGGAAAATCCAGAGATATTGAATTTCACCAAAATACTCAATTCTGTGACGAGACCTTCCGTGACTTATAAGATGTATGGCGTATTTACTTAATAACATATCACACATTTAGTATTTAGAACATAACCGTTATACGAGGAGTGGTCTTGACGCAAACCACACATAACGCTCAAATACATTTCTTAGTGAATGTTTGTCCCGCCGAAAGGAAATACTAGTGCTTAAAATTTTTAATCTTCAATTTTATGTGTACAGGTATCACTCTAACCACAAACGTTTTAATATTATTGACATTTTTTCTACAATTTGCAAGTACAATTTAGGGATACGTATTAATTAAAGGTTTCTTTGATATTTTCGACTTAAAACAAGTATCCAGAAAAAAATATGCGAATAATTCTAAAATCTTTACTATCGATAAATGTAGTATATATGCATATGATGATATGACTTGGGATTTTTTTTGTTTCTATTTGACGCTATCTGGGGAAAAGGAGAAAAAACTAGAGCGCTTATGTAATTAAATCGTTAAATACGTAATGTTTCTTAATGATAGCTTTCTAAATTTTTCACAATTGTGTATTAAATATATGTATTTAAATTTACCAAGCATACCTTTGTATTGACTATGCACATGAGTATATGAATAAATTAAGATTATTGCTTTCAAGAGCGCGATTATCTTAAAAAAGGTACTTTTCCTCTAAAAAATCACTCCATCAATTTAATGTTTTAGAGATTTTAAAGGTTTCTATTTTTTGTTGTAGATGGGCATAAGCCTACCGATGCTGATAGCCAGCAACACGGCAATGGATACATGGAGCACTGTTGGCCAATATTCACCGCCAATCGATAACGATCGAAACCCGTTGCGAGTTCCCTTACCTATGCCCTTCCCAAACTCGCAAAGTGAAATGAATGTGGCAAGCAGTGCAACGCGTAGCCTTTTCGGTGGAAGTAGTAACAGTGATATAACCGCCAGTCCTCAAAAGCCAATGGAATCCTCAGATATTGAAGACAAAGACGAAATCTTAACAAAGCGTGAACGCTCAACACCGTCCAGTTTACACAACGTAAGTGGAAGCAGCGACGTCGGAGCTCATATCAGTTGCGTTGGTAATACCACTATAACTGAAAGATGCAACAGTGATAGTACTTGTGGTATTAGCGGACGTACCGGTGTAGAGGGAGCCATCGTAGAACCAAACGATGGAGGTTCTAGTCCTATATCTAATATTATTGAATCGCACGAAAAGCGGCGACGTACTACGCGTGACCATGAGGAGTTAGACATAAAGCGAGAACTTGTAGATTACTTTCACCCCCCTCATCCTCCAGCTCCGCCCGATTCCCATCGTTCATATAGCTCGATTGATGAGAACCGAATCGCAGGGGCTGACCCCGATGATTTTGCGCAAGATTTGCGCGTAAGCGCAGCAGCCGCTGCGGCTAAAGGCATAAACTTTAGCCAATTTGTACTACCACGGAATTTACGCCACTCATCCGAGTCGATAGATGAGAAATTTGCTCCACTAAATATGCGTAAACTGAGTTCAGTATCGGCAACAGCCTCAACCGCAGGGCAAATGCTTATGAATTCCTTACTATCTAACGAAAGTTTATCAAAAGAGACTGCCACAAGCACTAGTGGACGCATTAAAAGCGCATCCCAAGAAGCTGCATCCACATCTGCGGCAGCTGCTGCAGCTGCTATTTATGCTGAAAGTCTGAATAAAGATGATTGCGATTTCATTGGATCGAATGTTACACTAAAACTCCGATCGATGGACCGCACCCAAAGAATCATAGCCGAAAAGTTAATAAGTGAAGTTCTTTTTTATGGACAATTCAACGAGCTTGAACGAAATGCTCACATCCAACCTAAGTGACAGCAGCTAACAATGTTACATAAGGGTTTCTAAATATAACGAAAAAAAGAACATATTATGTTTCCTACCAATTTTATCCCAAAAAAAAAAAAAAATTCACAGAAGGAACGTATTGAAAAGAGAAGTAGTTCTTCTGTTTGGCACTCCTCCTGGTAATCGAATAATCTATCATAATTCCCTGTTTGTTTAAATACATGTATTGTTTTAATAAAATCATGATATTTAAAAACTAACCCTTATAAAATTATACAAAAATCCTTGTAGTACAAATTCAAATATACATACATACATAAATTAATTTACTTGAACAGATTTATTTATAATTTCTTACGATGGATATGAACTGTGTTCTTAAAATTTTTAATTATGTAAATTTTCTCGGTATTTAATTCGCAAGTTGGGAAACGTTAATATTTTTTTTTTAATTGTTATTTGTTTTACTAGTTGAAGTAGTTGTTTACTAATACTAGTTGTTTTACTACATTGAAAACAATAAGTGCTTTAAATTAATGTTCAGCAATCAAAAAAAAAAAAAAAATATTTATTTTCAGAAATGTTACCCGACTGGTTAGGTACACGTAAAAACAAAATTATTTGCTACATGCACTCCTTTATTTAAACATTTATAATTAGTTACTCATTAGCTCTTTTGATAAATTTCCTTTTCCAAACCTCTCAGCATCTCTCAACTCAGATTTGAATGCTTATATGTATGTACTATATTTTTATATAAAAGGATATTAGATCTGTTGCAAGTGTAATCAGTTATCTAGTCACGAATATGTCAGTGTGAGTGTTAGAAATTACATTGTTTAACGGTTTCATATATTTAATGATATTGAAAAAATATGCTAAGCCAGAAAAAAGGAAAGAATATCAATTGAAATGAATTCAAAGAATTATGTACCTCGCTTATTTTTCAGTCATCTTTTTAATACAAAATCGCCTTTAACTAAAACAAATATACACTGTATGAGGAGTTAACACATACATACATGCAAATAATAAAGTAAACCTTCATGGTTAGTAAAATGTAATAGCATTTTTACTATAAGGAAATTTCGAGTAATTCTTGTACGTTTTAATTTATGTTTTTCCAATCCATATGCTATAATTATTGATATATTTGTATTTTATTAAGAATGTACACTATTTATAAGCAATTTTTACAATGCAAAATACAATATCCTAACTATAAGTAAAGAGAATCCTAAACTTAAACATATGTATACGTGTAAAAGACGTGGTACATACATACATATGTATATGAATACATATACATTGGTGTTAAATTTAAACTTATGTATGTATGTAGAGTGACTGATAAATACCTGTGCCGGACCATTATTCATATAGTCAAGTTAATCCAATGCAATGTAATTAAAATTATTAAATCAGTGAGTACTTTTTTTAGGTTTTCAAAAAAAATTGTGTTTTAGACTTAATTTAAGAAAATTATGAAACGTGAATATATTGGTTCATCCTTATAAAGAAATTCGCTGTCTTATGTAGCATAAAGATGATTGTAGGAAGATCTTTATCGACCAAAAAAGACGAAAATATATGTAATTTTAATCATTGTTGTGCTAATGTGCAAGTGTTATGTATTCCCATAACTGAATGGAATGTGTATATGGAATGTGTAAAATTTAATGAAATTTTTATATATAACTATTTTTTATAAAAGTACATGAACTCAAATTGGTAGAAAAGATCATTAATGCTTTGAATAAATCTATAAATAGGTGTGGAAAACTAAAACGAATTATGCTGTACCTTATTTGAAAGAACTTTAGTCGTAAGGTTTTTTTATATTTTATTATATATACATATGTAAACGTTCATTCATATACATACATATATATGGGTATATACACACTAGTTAGAAACAATTTTAGAAATGTGACAAATAATGACATAATTTGCAAAATTGAATATAAGGATTAAATAAAAATGGATGAAGAAAAAATAAATAAATGTATAATTTTCATTAATTAATTAATAATATTCTTAATAGGACGGCAATCGCGCCTTTCTTTTGGGTAGGTAATTAGATATGTTCTTCATTTGAATTTCGGATAAACAGGGTTGGACACTAAAAAGCATCTGCCGACCAAATAAAAATGTTGTTTCAAGTTTAAGCTGATTCTGGTGACGTAAAACTGCTGCTCTAAGAATAGCCTAAGAGATGAAATATGGTCGAGAGCAGAGCATTATACATAACTGCATAACTTTGAAGAAACATCTGCTGAATGGAGACATCGGCCACGAGTTATACTTATCCGTTCAGATAATGACATGCTAAAATATAATATGTAAATTATACGAAGATAAAACCTTGTGTACTTTTTTAGTATACAGAGATCTGTAGCCATATACAACCAGTAGCCATAGCTTGGGAATTTAACAAATGACCAATATTTTTATGCATTACTAAGCTATTATTAGTAGCTCGGAGAGCGTACGTGTGTATAGGAGGCATAAATGATCAAATATTTAAATATTTATTTTCTACAAATTAGCAGACTATACAAATACCCTTTGTACTATTAAAAAACCAAATCAGCAATTGTTCTCCTGTCATTACAAGTGGAATGCATTAACATACTTCCATTCAGATAAACATTATAGTCCTTTATTAAAACGTTTAATCTGCAATTGCTTCAAAGTATGTTTCCACAAATAACTGCATTTAGATCTAACGATTAACTTTTTGGAATATTATGTAATACGAACACAATTTTTTAAATTTTTAAAATGCTAATAATTTTATTTTCCACACATTTTTTCGAATTAGCGAGAAACAATAATTTAACAATTTGGTTCTGTTTTTATATTTGAGTTTGCACAAATACGTCTGCGGTTGATTTCTTTATGCGTTATTGAGAATAAATTCTGTGTTGCATATTCTGTCTGTAGTCTTCATAATTTTATGCCACGTGCCAGTTAAAATTCAAATGCAAATGATCCTCCCGGCCTTGTTTCAAATTCAAATTGAGATGATCCTCCCGGCCCTGTTTCAAATTCAAATGCAGATGATCCTCCCGGCCCTGTTTCACCACTAAACTTGAATAAATGTCGAAACATTTGATAGGGATCAAGGTCTGAAAAGAAAAATATATTTTTTGATAAAATGTTCATAATTTTTGTGATAACTAACTCTGTACTCTAGCTTAGTTAATACAACCTAAAATTTGTTTACCAACAAATAATAGTGGTTTTTGATACAAAAAATGTAATAAAAAGTTTAACTTCGAACAAATTTAGTTGCTATACCAAGTAAATCAGTAATGAAATCGGATAAATAATAAGATAGTTATATAAGTAAAAAAATCTATTTACCTTGTTCCTGTTCCTCTATATCTTGGCCATTGTCGTATCGCATCTTTTTTCGTTGGTCTGACAAGATCGCATAAGCTTCACCGATTTCCTTGAATTTTAACTCTTCCTCTTTGCGTTCTTCTGCACTACTGTTAGCATGGCGATCAGGGTGATGAATTAAAGCTTTTTTACGGTATGCTTTTTTTATTTCATCTTCGGTCGCATTGCGTGATATACCAAGCATTTTGTAGTAATCTTTACGCTTAGACTTCTTTAAGGCAAGTTTCGCATCTCGCAATAATTTTTTAATCTCGGGAGTCTTCTGCAACTGCAATGCCGCCTCATAGTCATTCACACACTCATCAAATTTCTCTAGATCATTGTAACAACGCGCACGAAGAAGCAAAGCTTTCAGATATTGAGAATTTATTTCCAAAACACGTGTACAATCGGCGATAGCATCACGCAAGGAGCCAATTTTCGAGTTTACCAAAGCTCGATTGTACAATAGTTTTGAATTTATATCCTTATTAAACTCATCAATTTTTAGGGCCTCTGTATATATAGTTTGGGCTTCTCGAAAACGGCCGGACTTAAAAAGAGTGTTGCCATTTTCCTTCATTTCTTTCAGTGCTTTACTTTTGTTTCGCATCTCTTTAGCCTTTTTATGATCAGGATCAAGCTGAAGTGCACGTTCAAAATGCAATATACCTTTCTCAAGATTGTCGGTGTAATAAAGACACAAGCCGCGAACATATATGGCATCCGCAGAAGTGCTATCTAACTTCATAACACTTACGGCAATGTCAACTGCCTCATCACAGCGACCAAGAAAGGCAAGGCATTCAGCTTTGAGCAGGCGATATCTGTAAATTAATAAGATTACGCAGTAATTATTATACGCAAAAAGGTGTCCAATGGTCTTTGATATAAACCAACCTAAGGCAAGCTGGAGCAATAGCCAATGCACTGTCTAAATAGTACACTACATTACGGTATGCCTTAGAATCGTAGTTTGTTTGTATCGTTTTTTCCAGCTGACGTAGCTGCTTCATTCCCTGTTGTTCTACTTTGACAGCATTGCTTTGTGAGTCTAATTCAAGCACCTTTTTAATAGCTTGCTCGCTACCGATCATATCGCCCATTATTAAACAGCATTTAGCAATGCGTGCGTATGCTTTGTCGAACTTCGGATCTAGTCGAACTGCTTGACGAGCATCGCTTAAGGCATTTATATAGTTGGAAAGCATCATGTAACAGGCGGAGCGATTGCCATAGTAAGCAGCAAAGTCAGGACACAATTGAATGGCATCAGAGTACAGCTTTAGCGCAGCGTGGTAATTTTCTGCTTTATATTGGTCGTTGCCTAATTTTTTTTTCTCCTCAGCAATACTGCAAAAAATATGAAGCAACATTATCGAACCACGTCTACAATTTAAACTAATAGTTATAAGTCAAAAAGTAAAATAAAACGGAATAGCATTTTTAATACCAGAGTAATAAAATGTATTATAATCTTATTTAAGTGCTTTGAAGCAGTGTCAGTCTGTATATAATTAGTGGATTCCCCTTTGTTAGATCTTTTCTATTTAAATTTTTTTTTTTTTAATTAGCGTAATAGTTTTGGTGATTTTGTTAGTTATATACACAAATTAA